ATGGAACGAACCATGTCCAACAAGGTTCGATTGTGCCTCTTAGCCACACCATTCAGATGTGGTGTTCTGGGAGGTGTTAATTATGAAACAATTCCACATTCCTTAAGATAGTCAAGGAACTCTGTACTAAGATACTCTCATCCTAGATCGAATCAGAGCATATTAATGTTCCTGCCCAGCTGATTCTCCACTTCCTATTTAAACTCCTTGAACTTTTCAAAAGTTTCTGACTTATGCTTGATTAAGTAGACATAACGATATCTACTGTAATCATCGGTAAAAGTCACATAGAAGCGGTTAGTATCCCTTGTGGCAGTTCTAAAGGGTCCACACACATCTGTGTGTATGAGGTCCAACAAACCTTCACCCCTAGCACAAGTGACAGTGAAGGGAGACTTTGTCATTTTTCCAAGCAAACAATATTCGCAACTATCATCTGACCTTAAGTCAAACGACTCCAATACTCCAGCCTTCTGGAGTTGGCCTATCCTCTTCTTGTTAACATGTCCAATACGACAATGCCACAAGGATGCTTTATCCAAAATAGTGGAAGAATCGATATGCAATACATTATTTCCTAAGTTATCTACAACCGGAATGGTTTCATATACACCATCACAAGGTAATGCTTTAAAATAAATAACATTATTATAAAAAGAATTGATACCACCACATTCATTATCAAATGAAAAAGTAAACCCATGTTTGTACAAACTGTGAAAAGAAATAATATTTTTCTCCATTTCAGACGAGTAACAACACTTATTCAAATCTAACACTAATCCACTACTTAGCAACAAAGAATAAACTCCAATCTTGGTGACAGGTGAAGTTTTCCTATTCCCCATGATCAAGTTTATCTTTCTGTGCTCCACATCCTCACTTCTTCTTAGGCCCTGCAAATCAGAACATATATGAATACCACAACCTATATCAAGGACCCAAGAATTAGTATGCGGTGAGTTATTAGACAATATAGTGTAAATACCTGCAAGAATAGGTTTGATCTTCCCATCCTTAACATCGTGCAGGTACATGGGGCAGTTTCATTTCTAGTGCCCCTTTTCCTGAAAATAGAAGCATTGAGCTTCCTTTGGGTTGGAAGAAGGATTGACAGAACCACCTTTGGTTCCACTTGAAGAGGAGCCATCAAGAGACTTTCCCTTGGTACCCTTCGAAGGGGTCTTCCTCTTCTTCCCTCTAGTTTTCCCGATTGCTAGAACAGGGGTGGTGTTAGGAGTAGGAGTAGTAACAGCTGATTTACCTTTGAGACCACTTTCAGAAGTCTTTAAAAGTCCTTGAAGCTTGTTAAGTGTGACCTCCTCCTTGCACATGTTATAGGTTATTCTGAAGTGATCATAATAAGTAGGTAAGTAGTATAGTATGATGTCAATATCCAACTCATCGGGGAAGTTCACATTCAACGTCAGCAGACGGTCCACAAACCTTTGCATTTTCTGTATGTGGCCCATGATGGATTTACCATCCTTCATTGAGTTTGTTATCATGGAAGAGATAATTTCATACCTCTCTTGACGAGCACTTTGATGGTAGCGGTCCATCAAGTCCACGTGCATCTCAAAAGGGTAAAAGTCCTCATAGGACTTTTGGAGTTCAACTGGCATTGTGGCCAACATGATACATGCCACTTTGGTAGCATCCCTCTCATGTGCCCTAAAGTCAATGATATCCTATGGGGTAGTAGTAAACTCATCAATTTCTTTTAGCTCTTTATTGAGGACATATTCCTTGTCCTCGTACCGTGTGACCATCCTGATGTTCCTGATCCAATCATTAAAGTTTAAACCATCAAGTGTGACTCTCCCACAAAGGTTCACGAGAGAGAAGGGGCTGGTAGGGTTTGAGCCAGAAGCAACATTGTTGGAAGACATCTAAAAAGAAGAAAGACAAGTTTAGATAAGATATAGGATCCTTAATAAGACACCCAAATGTAATCTTAAGTCTAGGACTCAACACAATACTTTATAACTTGGAAGAGGGATGTCGTAATCCAAGCTATAAAATATTTGAAGGTAGGTGAATGACGTTTCACCAATTTCCACCATCAAAAGCGAAATAGGTATTAGGTTTTAATTTGATTGAAACTCCTAGATTATTTTTGAGATTCATTGAACTTTTCAATAACATATTTAAATATTGATTGTACCCTTTGAAGTTTGTAACTGGGATGTCGAGGATCACAAACAAGGTACCATGCAAATTAACTTGGTACCCTTAATTTTATCACATAATCGATGTGTTGGTTATCCACACGCACTCCATTGATCTATGATAAAACATTAAGTCACCCTTTGTCACTTTTACTAGTCCATGTTAGTGTGCCGTTTACCCACACACACTCCACCAATGACTTGGTAAGGTACAAAGTGTAATTTCATGGGTTAGCACCAATTTCACATTTTCCTAAAGTAAATAAGAATAGGAATTTATAAAAGGTTTAGTTACTTTATATTTATCATTATACTTTTAATGAGAATTACACTTTGTAATTAAAGAAGCGGTGGGTAAGAGTGGACACCCATTAAGCTGCCATTTTATAGGCAACAACCTCATACTCCCTTATAGATCGGCTTCGCGAATGAGGCCTACTAATGGTAACACTTACTTGCTTTTAGATGCATATATATTATTAACTTATAATACTATAAAGTATAAAGGTTGAATTTTAACATTTAAAACTCTAGGGTTTGGAATTAAAGTTTTCTAAAGTGACTTTACAAACTCCAAAACTTGAGGGAAAGTTTTGAAAATATTTAAAACATTTCAACTTCATAACTTATAAGTTTAAATTATATTAAAGAAAAGACTTTTGGAATTCCATAACTTGAGGACAAGTTATGGAGTCCATTAATAGCATTTAGATCAAGAATTCTACTAACAAAGAATTTGAAAATAATTTCTATGATCTACTAAAACTCATAAACATGAACATTCAGATCAACAATTTCAAGAATCATATAAACACATATAAAACTTGAAAATTTGATAATAACCATTGAAAATGGATTAGCATAATCATTACCACATAAAAAATGGTTTTATAAGTCCAAAACAGTTTAAGGTAATGATTCTAGACCATTTCCAGTAGCATAACTCGAAAAACTCCAGACAGGTCTCTTACTCGTCGAGTGTAAGAACCTACTAGACTAGTAGGATGCAATTTCACTTGGACTCGTCGAGTGCCCCCATGGACTTGGCGAGTAGCAAATTTTCGACTTTTTTCAAGCAGTTTGCATCAAATACAAAGAAAACAAGTCTAGGTTCTGATACCACTGATGGGTTTTGAGCATTCTAACACTCCTACAGTATACATGCAACCCTAGAAACCCTGGATCTATGTTTTCTCTAATATTCATTTAAATTTGATTTTTCCAAAGTTGTCATCCTAACTAGCATAACATGGGGTAATTGTAATATAAAAAGTGGTAGAATGACATAACTTTCTTGTGGAGTGGATTCCTTAAGACCTTTTGAGCCTAGCACCCCAAATGTAATGCCTCAAATGTTTCACACAACACCACAACTCTTAAAATAACTTGAGAGAAGAACACTTGAGCACAAAAATCAGCTAGCCCTCACACTCTTGTCTTAGATGCTAATTTTGCTAGCCATGGGGCTCTTTATATAGTGTGCCACATATAGGGTTACACCATGTAAATCCTAATGTGCATGACTTTTCATTTTCCCCATTATCCATGGGTTTTAACCTCCATGGAGTGCCTAATGCTTCCTAGCCTAATCTAGTGAATCATGAACCAAAAGCCCACTATATAAGAATGAATGGTTTACAAATCAATCCCCCATATATTTAATTAGTCTCTTTTTTATCACAAAATTAATTCCAAATTAATTCTTGATCAATACTAATTAAATAATATAATTAATATATTAGAACTTATAATATATTAACAAACCATAAGTGTCCTTTTCTCGTTTTGTCTATCCAAGTGTTATGATGTCATGCAACCCCAAATGGACCATGCCAAATCGGGTCAAGTACATACTAAATATAGTTATGTACTTAGAAACCTTATCCAAAATTGAACTCCCAAGCTTTCATCTTCTCTTCTAACTTCAAATGCACATAAAAGTCAGCAAAAAGCTCAAGAACACTAAAAAGGGGGCTTAGGGTTCGAGTTACAGTTTTCTCTAGGTTAGGAGGAACAATGGAGGCTAGGTTGAGGCCTTATAAGTTGTTTAAATAGGTTGCAAAGCCCGAATATTAGGGTTTCATTTTGATAGTCCTACTCGTCGAGTCGGTCTCCTGACTCGCCGAGTAGGTCACTTATACCACCGATCTAAAGACGAGTCTAGTCGACGAGCTGGGCCTCGAACTCGCTGAGTCCCACAGTAAAACATGAGTTATACTTTAATTAAAATACATATTAGGAACCAGATGTTACAAAGACATTAATAGAGTTTAACATATCAGAAAAAATTAGCAAGTTTTTTAATGTAAATAAAGAACTCTAAGAATAAAGGCGTTTAATGACTTAAAACTCGCATTTTGTGGGTTATTGATCAGTATAACACATCTTAAAATTGCTTTTTAAGAAGTGAATGACATAATTAACTGATTAAAGAAACAAACAGGAAGTTAATTCAATATTTACTTCCATAATTTTATTTTCAAATCAGAATTATATAAGAATTTATTGACAAACCTCAAAACCAAAAGATTAAAGGAACGAATAGCAAGTCTTCGAACCAATCCTTCTTAGTTGTTCATCCCAATCCTGGACGGATTACACCCTGATGAAAACATAAAGAAGTAGAAAAAAATCGAAAATGCACATAGAGACAATACGTCAAACACCTTACGTGCAAGAAACCAAACAAATTGGAGAAAATGTTGGCTAAATCTCTAAGTATAGGCCTGTGTGATTATATGAGAGCAAAGTGCTCATAAACGGTCCCAATCCAAAATGGATGACATTCAAAACATTAACCATTAATCTAATAAAAACAAATAACATGTTCTAAGTAAAAGGCGTGTTGTTGACCTGCATTTGGTCCAAGTCTTTGTTAACAATGAAATGGTCAGCTTTAAGCCCGTCAAGTGCTTCCTCTGTCTTCACTGGGTTCGTACTAAAACCCATAACTTCTGCCGTAATATCCTTGGCTATCTTCACCGCAACATGACCGAGTCCACCAAGACAACCTATCCTAATCTTCATACCAGGCTTGTTTGGTCTGTAGTGTTTGAGGGGGTTGTAAGTTGTGATCCCAGCACATAGCAATGGAGCACTGGAATCAAGTAGCACCAGCTAAAGCAACAAATTCAATATGAAATTCCATGGTTTTCAAAAATAAAAACATTTGGAGATGATGATTGGAAAGGAACGAAAGAAAAAACAGAGAAATTAATCGTATTACCTTCAATTTGTGTCAACACCACCTTCATTGGCAGGTGACCTCCCTATGAGTTCGATTTATGCCTTCCATCTCTTGAATTCTTTCAAACAAACACGCATAATCTATTTTTCCTTCTTCGACCATATTGTAATCGAAAACAGATAAGGTAATCAGGTGATAGTGATAACCCCCATACAACAAACGAAGCCAAATAACGAATACCAGACACCAAGAAAAGCAAAAGATCAAATTCCTTACCTTGTAGTGAGTCCAGCGGGAGTGATGGTCTTCATCAAGCCCTAATCACAAGTTTAGATGAGGCGGCTGATGGTGGTGGTGATCGAGGTAAAAAATATGACGGGGATGTCGTTCGCCTCTGTTAGCGTTTTCTCGGGTTGCTTCTTTACCTGTAGCGCCTCCTTCCGTAATCGGAATATTGGAGTGAACTTCTTCTATCATGGCCTTCTGTTTATGAGAATAATCGAAAAGGAAGATACAATATCCCCAAAAGACAACCAAAGGCAGAAAAGGAACAAAAACCCTGGAAACTATCGAGGTCTATAGGCGGTGAAGTCGATTAAAGCGAGTCGCTGTAGGTGGAGGTAAGAAGAAAAAGCAGATGAAAAAATAGGGTGTAATGAGTGATTCTTGGAAGAAGGGATGACACTAATCGTAATGTTATTCGCCTACCGATTTAGGGAGTCGGGAGAGGAGATAAATGAACAACATGTGTACACATAATAGAGAAAATGGTAAAATATGACCCCTTAAAAGAAACGACCCATAATTATAACCACACACATAGACAGAGGACCATTTCTGCCAACTCCTTAGGAGTTTTACTGTTCCTAAGGATGATCCAACTTTTATATATATATATATATATATATATATATGATACAAAACGATGTAGTATAGTGAGTTTGGGTACCTAAGCTTATATACCCTTAAGGGTATATTCACTTTTTCCAATATATATATATATATATATATATATATATATATATATGGGAAAAGTGAATATACCCTTAAGGGTATATAAGCTTAGGTACCAAACTCACTATACTACATCGTTTTGTATCATATATATATATATATATATATATATATATATATATATATATATATATATATATACATTGTAATTGTCCAATTTTCTTATAATTCAACTTCTAACTTGATGTACTTCCAAGATTTTTATCAATATCACATTTATATTCCTCTTACATAATTTTCATTTTCAACTATAATATATATAGCCTAGTAGGTGTTCGGCAAAAAGATGTGATGTAAGAGGAAGATAATAATGAAATTTCGATAATTTTGAAAGTAAATCAAGTCAAGGGTTGAAGTTTAAGAACATTATAATGAATATATTAAACAAAATAACGTATTATAATAGGTTTGGGTACCTAAGCTTATATACCCTTAAGGAAATATTCACTTTTCCCTATATATATATATATATATATATATATATATATATATATATATATATATATATATATATATATATATATAAGAAATTTTTTTTAAGAAAATAAGAATAATATTTATCATATTAAGATGAGTAAATCAAAATATCAATGCTTTTATAATAATCACTTTATATATATATATATATATATATATATATATATATATATATATATATATATATATATATGTATGTATGTATGTATGTATGTATAACATAGAACATTTTGAAAAAATAAAATATATCAATTTTTGTGCAAGTTAAACCTAACCAAAATGGTTTGTTTAGTTTGTTGAGAATAAAAAAAATCATCAAAAATTCCTCATCAAACAACATGTGACCCTTACATGAAAAAACTATTGAATTTATACAATAAATAAATTGAGAGACCTGATAAATTGGAGATGACAGCTCTGACAGTGCAATTTTAGAGATAAATACATTGAAAATGCCCTTTTCGGAATGGAGGCTTTGACTTTTCAATGTTGGAGATGAATGAAATAAACATTTCAAATCTATTTGTACGAGTAAACCCTAGATATGTCACGCTATCACTTGTTTGAGAGATTAATGAAAATTCACAAAACAAAATTGAATGCCAAATCATGGTAAACAAAACTAAGAGATATAATTGATTACATCTTTCACTCTTCAACTCTATGAAGCAGAGACGACCGACTGAGGAGTGAGGAGAGAGAACTGGGGAGATAAATCAAGAGAGAGAATCAATTGTTTAACATATTATTTTCAACGGAAATCCATTTCTTTTCAAAGTCTACTTGGAATACATACATAAATCCAAAATCAAGTTGATGAATTCGAATCTATTCAACAATCGGCATCAAATTTAATCCCGTTAAGGAAGACGAAATCATCATGAAGAGTACGATTTTGTTTCAAATCGGCATAGATTGGCCTTCAAGATCTCTCTCATAAACTTTAGGGTTTCGAATTGGATTTTTGTCTTCCCGTCGACGGTCTGCAGTCATTTTTTAGAGAGAAAGATGGAGAGACGAGACCGACATCAATTAAAAGGCAAGGATGCAGGAACAAAAAAGCATTTCCATCAAATTGAATAGAAATTGGTTATGATCTTGCTAATTACTGGGATTCTACAAAACATCTTCCTCTACTATAATAAAAGAGTACTATTTAGGCCACATGTCCTTTGCACAACCTCCTCTAATCCTATTTTGCCACTCATTTCCCTTCAAATGAAATTAATTATTAAACTACCCTTCTACAGCTTCAAATTGGTCAGCCTTATAATCTGCATAAAGAATCGTAATCAACCCTGTTAAATTTGCAACAAATTGATTAACTAACTATAATATGCATAAGGATACCTAATTTTTTATTTTGCGCTTTGAAAATCAAATCACACAATTATATTTGTTCATCGGTTTAGCCGACTAACTCCATTATTTACGCTCAGATTTTCTCTGCTGATAAAACTTAATTCCAGTATATCTTCTTCTTTTTTCAAAACCATGATCGTGCAAAATCAAGGAAAGAATCACACACATATCTTCTTCCTTTGTCTCTCTCGAACACCTAGATGTAGAGTTCTTCCTCTTTCTTATGTTGCTCATAATTTGATTTGATTTATTATTGTTGCAGATCTCTAAGTAATTTGAAGAATTTTGGTCCCGATAACATCAAATCGTCATTGAAACAAACAAATTTCAAGGTTACAATTTTTCCTTCATTCTCGCTAGCTTATCGCAACCCTATCTCCCTCTTTCTCAAATTCCGATTTATTCTCCACGTTCCCCTATTTGCAGGAGGCAGGCGATGGTTCGGTTATATTGTCACCTTGGGATTTTGTTCTCATCAATTGGTTAACAGGTAGGGATGTTAACAATGGTGGATTCACCTTGACAATTTTTGGTTCACAAAATCTTCTTATTATGGTTCTTAATTTCAATTTCAGCTTACAGAAACTTTCAAACATTAATTCTTCTATAATATTTGTAAATACTAAGTATTTATAATCATAGTTAAAGACTTACAATACCTTGAATTTGATTGACTATTTTTTGTATAAAATTATTTTCTGCGACGTCAGTCAATCTCTCATCTTAAATTAGGTCAAATTAGGTTTATGTTGAGTTGACTTTGAGCTTTTTTTTTCTGGTTTTGTACCTCAACACATGAGATGAGGAGGCCAAAGGCATCGATGTTGTCATAGGTATAGCCTTTATGACATGACAAAAGGAAGCTAACTAGGGATGATAAGAATTATAACATTGTTTAGAAACCTCTTTCTCTATTCCATTTTGCTAGGACCGACACTCATGTGTCATTGATTACTAGCCATTTAGAATAGGTGAATATTAACTTTTGGGTGTTTCTTTTTGAATTAATAGAAAAAGTCTCAAACTTTAAAGTGGAAGAATGGAGGGTGTAACAATTTGATTTATCGTGTTTTTTTGTCCGTTATACTTAAATGTATATTACATCATAAAAACTAATTACTTCACCAAATATCTGAATTTGCAAAAAGTAAATTAGAGATTAACAGCGGTGCATATATTTATTTTAAAACAAAAGTATAAAGTTACTAACAAAATTTCTACCTTTGTAAATTAATATTTTTTTTTGCAAAAATTTGATTAGTCATTACGATTTCAAATTATGAATAATGTTTTTTTTCACACTATGGTTTTTCAAATTTCAATTGCAAATCAGGAACAAAATCAAGAATAATAAACAGTGCATATTTTTTTCCATATTTATAGTATCTCCGTATTTTTTCAGATTTATATTTGCATAAGGGTAGTTTCCAAAATTCACTTTGAGTATTGAGGCTTAAGGAGATGCTATGTGTCATAAAATGTACTCTGATATACTTGTTTCGTTTTGTTTGTATTCTAATGACCAATAATATATTTATAAGTAAATAGACACTTAGAAAAATATATTATCCTCAAAATGACTTAGTTTCGTTTTGTTTGTATTCTAATGACCAATAATATATATATATATATATATATATATATATATATATATATATATATATATATATATATATAACTAAATTGACACTTAGAAAAATATATTATCCTCAAAATGACTTAGTCGTGACGAGGAACACTTTAGAAACACATTTGTCTTAAATTTGGATTTCACAAGTTTCAAGTTTACCTAGACTGTGATTGGAAAAATAGTGTGGAGTTGATGGGTTTGAAGTTTTTATTTATATATGTGTCCGACAAAAAATGTTGGGGAAATTCGAAATATGGATATGAAAATCTGGATAACAAACAGGAATTGTGTAAACACTTTCCTTGTTTGATATTTCGATCCTATATGCCTTGGGTGTCACGAAATCCAAACTGGGATAATTCCTGATGTAACAATTCTGATTTTAGGCACAAAATCAGAATCAATTTTGAGAAGAAGATGAAGAAAGTAGCATTTTTTTTCTGTGTTTCAAAGGAGTTGTTGTTTCCAGGATTTATCCACTCAACGGATAAACGAGAACACTTTTCATCTTTCAGAAAGACAGATTAGTCCTTGAATTTGCATCTTTTAAGAATGATAGATTAGTCCTTGTATTATAGATTAGGGTTCGATACTAACAATGTTTAGTAAATACAAGTGTGCACTGCCGACTTGACACAGTAGATTAGGGTTCGATACTAACAATGTTTAGTAAATACAAGTGTGGACTCCCACACCTCCTAACTTGTATTAAAACTAAAACATTATTCTTGAAACACTTGTTAAGTCCATTACACTAAAATATATTTGGTGATAAAATCACCAACAATCCTCCCCTATTTTAGTGTAACCTTGAATTAACAAACTTAAAAACAAAAGAAACAAAACTAATGCATAAATGAAAATATCGATACGATTGAATTTTCATGTTAGTATATTACACATTTCAAACATTCGAGAAATCAAGGTATCTCAAAGATTGAACCTGTCAACTCTTTTAAATATTTGAAGATAATATACACATTAGTTTTACAAT